AAACTTAAAAAAAATCATTTGGCTAGAATTGCACCTAGCGATTTCGGTTGAACCGCACCTAGTTAGCTGTGATTTAGTTGGAAACACACCTGACCAAGTGCCATTCAGTTGAAATCACACCCAACCAGGTGCCATTCAGTTGGAATCAAACCTAACCAAGTGTGATTCAGCTTGAATCACAATTGGCCTAGTGCGATTCGGCTTGAGTCGCACCTAGCCAAGTGTGATTTGGGCCAACTACACTTTTTTTTTTTTTTTTTCCAGTCTTTGAATTAATTTTCAATTTTTTTAATTTTTTAATTTTAGGCTTTTTTATTTTAATAACTAACTTTATTTTTATTTTATTTTTTAAAATTTATTAACCCTAAAATTAACCTAAACCAAGCTAGGGGTGAAAATAAATATAATAAAGTTTTTTTTTTTTTGGTGGGGGGGAGGTGAGGACGTTATTAACCTTATTAAAAATTATAAAGTCAAAAGTAAAGGGTATTAAAGTCTTTTAGTAGCTTTACCACTGTCAGGTAATAGATTCCATTGACGAAGATTGATGATGGGTGGGAAAATGTTTTTTTTCAAGTTTATGGGTGAGAAAAGAATATTCCCCAAACTTTGGGTGGAAAAAATCATTTAGCCTAATAATTTTCATTTGGGTTTGATTTGGCTGTTTATGGAGACAAACCATCGTGCTGAAGTTTAACTTTAGTCTATATTAATTCCAAAAGCGAAAGCAAAAGGGGAGCCTTTTTTATTTCTCTGAATTATAATTTTATGTTTGCATGTAGAAGACAACTCAGTCTTCGAGAACTCCACTATCCATCTGCTATATGCTTAATTGCTAAGTTTCTTCTGAAAATATAAAACATGGTTGATTTTTATGACTTTATTGACTGTTCTAGGCTGGACTTTTGGTTATTTTCTAAAAGAATATGGACCCATTCATTTCCTAACTCAAACCCACCTCATGTTTTTTTTTTTTTTTTATGATTTTTTTTTTTTTTCCAATTTAGGGTTTCAATCAAAGAGAATCTTTGAGTCTTAGGATATTGTGCAAATGCTGCTTCCCTTTCAACTTTTGGTGAAGGGAATCAGATTCTTTATTTACACTTTGTAATCACTTCATATAAACGTAAAATAGCTAGTTATTTTCAGGTAATCGAGTGATTCGATAGGGACTTTTGAATGTATTACTCAAAAGATCTTGAGTTTGAATCTCTCTTCGATTGTTAATAAGAATTGCCACTGAAGTTTTTATTTAATCGATAGTTTCAAAATCCTCAAAAATTATTTGAAGCACACGTAAACTAGTTTAGACACTCCCAACCATTAAAAAAAAAAAAGAAAAAAAAAATAAAAAAGCTAGCTATTTCCTCTTTAATGCTTACCATGCACGGTCAGGATGAGCTTAGACTCGTTCCCAAAAACTGGTTGAAGGAGTCAAACCACATATACATACACCAAAACAGTATAGCAAATTGGCATGCTGGACAAATACAACTTCCACCATTTCTTGTAAAAAAAATAACCTAATTTATAAGAGAATAATAGTCATAATCTTTCACTGTAAATATATTTGTCCTAAGTTTAATAGATATGGACCCTCAAATTTCAATGTAAAATACTTGGAGCTGCAAGTTTCTTGAAATCTACATATGCAGTTCTTTTTCTCCCTAAGATTATAACATGCAAGACAATTTCTGCCATGAATCCTTCTCTCCATACTCTTTCATCACCCATATTTCCACATAACTCTAGTAAATCTCTTCGCATACACATAGACTCTCTTTCAAGTTCTCTGGATGAATATGTTCTGCTTCAGCCCTCGGACATGGTACAATTCTAAATTCTTCAACCCTGTGATTGAAAGCAACCACTGACCATTCTAATTTTTTGCCATTAAACGTGTACATTGACCAGTGTGATGCTCCCTCCACTTACGAAGCAACTCCCTTTCCGGTCACCAAACAAATATTCGCTGTAAGGGAAATCTTGAATCCTCCTCCATGAATTGGATTTTGAACTGCAAAAGTGGACTTCACTGGCAATAGAGTTACGTTGGAAGCCATCGCTTGAATTGAAGAGTCGAACAATTTTTACAATCCTATACTCCTTATTCACATTATCATGGCCAAATCCAAAGTAACCCACCTGTTTGCAGCCATAAAATAACTTCTCAAATCCTGCAGGTGCAGCTGGTAAATATTTCCACTTCATTGGAAATGGGTTCCATTACTTAAGATCAAAATGAAAACTTGACAAGTTGCGAAGACAAAGCAGCCCGTTGCATGAACCCTATATATCAAACTCGGATTTTAATGTGCATAGAACCTGATCATCAAAATCTGCCGAGTAACCGCAGAGATTGGAGTTGGTGCAGGCGGCGAGGATGAGATGAAGGTGGCTGGTTTTAATGGATTGTTGTAGATGCCTGTCCATGAAATCTTGGCCATCGATCAAAGCACGCCATGATTATTTCCCGTTTTGAGAAAAAAAAATAAATAAATAAACTTAATTATGAAAATTAAGATTATCAAAAAAGCTCAAATCAGCAAGAGGTGTTTGATTTTTTGGAGATTCAACTTGTTGATTTGAGCCACGTGGCTGGGTAGTCCAAATTATATATAAAGTTTAAAGACAATCTATAACAGAGCGATGTGGGAGTTTTCCAACTTCATATGGTGAGCATTAGTTTTCTGTTGAAATCATTTTCAAAACACTTCCCTTTCATCTGCCCAGTGATGGATTCATTCACTTTCTGAGATGATGGTTATACTTAGAAGCGTCTTTATCAGAATTTTTCTACGGATGTCTGGAAATCTATTTCATGTAGGTTGGCAGAGGGAAATTTTGAGTCATGGATGCAAGATCTCATATGGTTTTTAAGCAAGTTTTAGATGAACCGAATGGTAATAATATTGAAATCTTCAAGCCCACTTAACAAAAACCACTTCAATGAGTCCTACAACTAATGGCCGAAATAGAAAAATGTCCTCTTGTTGTTTCGAAATTAAACTAGATTAGCATTGATTAAGTGTTGTGTAGTAAGTTATTAAAGAATCTGACAATTCTTATAACTTTATAATCATTGTTTACAGGATCATATCCAAATCCGAAGTTAGCCATGAGTTTGGAGTATTTAAAATTTCCGATATCCTAAGGGCCCAGTTGGTAAACACTTCCACTTCCTGGAAAATGGGTTCCATAAGGAAAACTCATCATGAAGACTTGGAGAGTCGCCAAGGCAAAGCAACCCATTGCAGGAACCAACTACCCGCTCCTCATAGGACATTGTTTTGTGAAGGAAATTGAGCTTTGTTGTTACCTGATTGTTTAGGATCTGATCATCATCAAAATCTGTAGAGTAAGAGTAGAGATCTAGATCCAAAGAAGAGTAGTTGCGGGTAGTCAAGATGAGATGATGGTTGGTGTTGGTTTTGATGGACTGTTAAAGATGCATATCAATGAAATCTTCGCTATCGATCAAATTACGCCATGCATGATTTTGATATACATCTATAACGAAGGAGCGATTTTACAGGCAGTTTCAGAAGAATTTCTTCTATCAATTCTTCTAACAGATGCGACATTGCAAACCAATGATCAATGCTACTATAGACTTCGAGGGGAAGTTTGTATATGATAAAGTCTGAAATAACAAAGCTATATATAATTAATAAAATCCTAATTCTGCCAGCAATAGGAAATTAAATAAATTAAATCCTATTCATACTTCTATTAGTAATCAGAATAAAGCACAAACTCATCACATTTATAATTCTTCAAAAAGTTGTAACATTTTAGGAAATATTGGTTCGGTGGAAGACTACCGGGACGGAAATCCAATTTTTTGTCCTCTGCTGGAAAATTGTCACTCATTAAGTAAGTTCTAGGGGTCTTCCTATGCATTAGAGGACCTGCTATTACTGAAGAGCTTGAATAATGGTAGATAGACTTTTTCTTATTTTGGTCTAAAGCTGGAGGATTGGAAGGCTTTCACTGGGTTAATTGGGAAACCGTGAGAAAGCCTTTACTTTCACTTTAGACAACGGTGGTCTAGAATGGTGGGCAAAAAACAGGGTAGAACCAGAACCAATAGGTACTTGGGGTTTCACTTTCGGTTCCTATTGGAAACCGGACTTCACAGGGTCGGTTTCGGTTCTAAAAAATGAAAACCATTACTGTATAGTTTCGGTTCCAGTTCTACTACTATAGGAACTAAAACTGGAATCGAGAGTAGGAACCAGAATCAGAATCGGAACTAAGACCGGAATACCTAATTAGGAATAAGGATTGAACTGTAATTTTTATAAATTTTGGGAGTGTATTATAATTTTTTGGGGCTGTATTTGTCATTTTTATGAATAGTAGGGGTAAATATTTTATGGGTACTTGAGACCGGAAAGGTTATGGTTCTAGGTTATAAGGAACCAGAACCAGAACTGGCCAGTTCCGGTTCTAATTCCAAATCCCTAGAACCAATCGATTCCGATTCCCATTCTGATTCCATGAGATTTGGGCGAGTACCCAAACTTGCACACCCGTAGTCTCAATATATAAAGAGAGTTTCCATGGCAAAGCAAGCTTCTTTTTGGGTGGACAGCCCGGCAAAAAAACATCCACAGGAATTAATTATCGACTTTCCGAACAGTATTATAATAATACATGCTCCCATGACAATAACATATTTTGGTTTATACGTTTGTTCATATAATCTCACTAAAAAAAAATATTTTTTAAAATTCGAAATTATGATCTAATAGGTGACTAATCTGAGTAGGTCCCACTAACTTTTTAATGTGACGTGGCATAATCGACAACCTTAGATTACGTTTGATTAGGACCCAAAGTCAACAAAAGCCAGCCAGTTCAATCCGACATGGAACTTGAAACCGTTCACATGTACCAGAATCTTCTTAACAGTAACACGTCTCCAAATTTGGATTGTTTTGGTTGTCTTAGCCGCCAAGCCAACTACAAACCGAACCCTTTATATAGAACAACGTAAACATAACAAATTCCCATTAAAGTTCCAAACTTGAAGAACAATTAAACAAAATTCATAGACATCAACAATTTGAAAAAGAAAGAAGACATGGAAGGAGGAACTGAAGCTTTCCCAGATTTGGGAAGACACTGCCAGCTCCCAGATTGCCATCAACTCGATTTTCTGCCTTTTACATGCGATGGTTGTCAAAAGGTACATACTTTTATGTAATAATAATGTTTTAATTAGAGAGTTGTCGTTATGTTACTCGTTCAATAACGTTTTATGATTCTGATCGGACGATTATTATTGTTTTTGCAGGTGTTTTGTTTGGAGCATAGGTTGTCTAAGTCACATGAATGTCAAAAACCAGACATCAATAGCAGGAAGGTGATTGTTTGTGAAGTGTGTTCGGTTTCGATTGAGACAACAGGGCAGTTTGGAGAGGGTGAGAAGATTATATTGGAGAGGCACCAGAAATCTGGAGATTGTGATCCCAGTAAGAAGAAGAAACCTACTTGTTCTGTTAAACGCTGCAAGCAGATATTGACTTTTTCAAATACGGCGACTTGCAAGACTTGTAATTTGAAGGTTTGTCTCAAGCACAGGTTCCCAGCTGATCATTCTTGCAAGAAGGATTCAGTGGTGGGGAAGAATGCTGCTGGGGCTGTGGTGGGTGCAGGTAGATGGAATGATAAGTTTTTGGTTGCTTTGGCTGCAAGGAATGGGAAAGAATGTACCAAGAGTGACCGGAGTTCACAGGCTGCGGCAGCATCGTCATCAACCTCTAGTAATCCATCTGTTAAAGCCTACTGAAAGTGTGCCAAAAGCAGTGTCATATTGTAAAACCTATCATTGAATGAGCCATGATTTTAACTGTGATTTGTAGTTCTAAATGCAATGCATTTCTGCATTTTTTTTATTTTTTTTATTTTTTTTTCTTTCTTGCCTTCTTATAAGATCCTGACACCAGAAGTTGAAAGACAATCTGCTAAATATATATAAAAAGAAACCTAAGAAGGCTGATTCCTGCTCCTTGAAGCAGGGAGACATGAAAAATCAATCCATGAAATCAGAAATCACCAATGGCATATAAAAAAAAGAGAAATTAACTGGCAACATATATTTAACAAATTTATTTATTCAAATCCTGTTCCACATGTCAACAAAGCAATCAATATCTATCTTTCAGATCATTTACATTCCTCTAAGAATTCAAAGATGTCTCAAACCATAAACAGTAGCAGAAAGCTAATCAGAATTCAATTCCAAAAGATAAACTACATGAAGTTGACTATGTTGTTATATCCGTCACACAAGTTCCCAGAAATACAAACATTACATATGCTCTTTACAATGCAGAGTCTTTTACGGTTATGGCCATGATTGTTTGGGACGGAACTTAACTGCACGCAAAATCTTCCTCCTGGGTCCCTGCATCAAGTGGCTTTTGTGAGAACAGATCAATTAAATTTGAACAAGCAATGAATGCACTATGATCATGATGCCATGCCAATTCATGATAGTCAGGAAAATGTTCAAGCAAAATGCCAATTACACGATGTTAAAGACACACAAGATACACCATATGGTAATAAAAACAGCAATTTTTGCATCGCCAGAAAACCGACTAAAGTAATAGACTTATAGAAAGAAAAAAATGAAATTACAATACCATTGGTATCCCCAGTTCTTTAAGGTCCTTATCACTCATCTGCTTCAATGCATGCATATCAATCTGGAAATCAGATAAAACAAAGTCTTGAAGAAAGAGAAGTAAAAGGTAAACCATCAAACTTCACAATAATTAGAATTTATTAAGTGCTAATCACTCGTTACAGCGTATATACATGTAAATCACATAAATCAAAGTTTTGAATAAATAAGAGTAAACAATCAAAAAGTCAAAATGGTTAGAATATATTGTGTTTATCACCACTGCAATGGAAACATTACATATAGGTTGCGCCAAGGTTTCACAGAACAACAAATGAAAAAAACCAACTTCCTAGCCAAAATAGAATTATGGACTGCGGTTAAAATTACTTGGCTCGTTGTGCCTTTTGGTACATTGTTAAATAATTTTATTTTCCTATCTTTTCGTTTCACTTCTCAATTTATGTTTGATTAGTTATTAAAATGAATAATAATAATTAAAAAAAAGTGGTGTAGACCAATGCTCGTCATTTCTTTGCAAAGATCTGTAATACCAACGGCTAGTTATTCTTTTCTATTAAATTGGCATGGCCTGACAATTGATTTTCAATTACTAATCAATGCCAATAGTTAGCAATCAAGATATGATGAAGAGAAGAAAACCCCCATCAAACATTGAAAAACTTATCTTTGTACAAAGCAATTTGAAAATTCTAGAAGAGTAGGTGACTCACTTCTTCAGCCTGAAAAATAATAGCATATTTCCTCAAAGCAAGTGATTCCAACACCTCAGCAACTGTGAGATGTTCCACACCCTGTAGAGGAGTGAAAAAGAGCATAATAAATACATGTATATAGATGCCTAACTCTAACCAAATAACCAAACTCAACCAACTTGTGTAACTCACATGGCACATAAACTGGCTCCAGAAAAAATTGCTGATATAAATGAATAAGAAGGATATAAAAATTACCATTAGAGCACCCTTTCGCATGAAGCCACCACTTCGTGCAAGTGGGTAGCTCATTTGAGCTGCCATATGAGCGGTCTGCCTGGAAGCACCAACTTCATTGCTAACAAACTGTCCAGCTCTTGAAAACTCAGCTACCCTTATGGCTGGCACTTGTTGCAGCACATTAAAACCTCCCGGAGGTGAGAACCCCACAGCAGTCCAACTTCTACCTGGAGATGTAGCTCTTGATCTATCCATGGTCTGAGAAGAGAATGAGTCCTCTGGATGGAAATCATCCAAAATATCTTGTGGAGGATACTGCCTCAAACGGTGAGTTCCCTTTGCTTGAGGGTGGTGTCGCAACCGAAAAGCATTGGCCTTTTTTTCCTGTAGGCCCCTCTTCCTCTGCTCTTCAACACGCCTTTTCCACATTAGTTTCAATCGAAGATCATTTTGAGCAATCCGAGATCCTTCACCCACCCCAAGGTTCCAGAGTCAGTAACAATATAAAATTTAAAAAATAAAAATAGAAGTACCATCCCAGGTGATATTATACATTAAATGTCCTTGTAACACATTCAACATTAGCCATTACCAGTTTTGGCATCATGTCTCCATTTATTACGATCTAGTCGGCTCCTGCAAAGCAACATTCAACCGCTCAATATAAAACTCAACACGCATTCTCAGACATAAAAACAACCTTAACAAGAAAAGTATCACAACAATAGAATCGAAACTACAACCACCCATCTCAAAAGCAACGAAGAATTCATCCAAAAGATAATGCTCTTCACTTGATAGCGGATTTGTCAGCAGAACGTTCCATAAAAATCTAAACTTTCTTTACTTATTCACAGATATTCCTTTCTCTATGCACTCAATGATATAACCATAACATTACAACATCACAAATTTAAATGGCATAGAAAACATACCCAAAAGAGGGGATTTTTTTACAAGAAATTAACAAGTCAACCACTGAACCCACACAATGAAAACAAACCCATGAACAAAGCAAACATAACCAAAAGAACCCACCTTCTGTTCACAGACAAAAACCCATCTGACCCTGTAAATCGTTTGCTTCCCCCTCTATTCACCACCTAAAAATCAGAAACAAAAACAACATAAAACACTTCAAATCACAAGAACAACACATGAATGTTAGATAAAACAAGAAAGAGAAGGTAAAGGGTACCTGGCCAGAGGGGCCGAGGGTGATGGTGACACGGGGCTCGGCCATTTGTTGAGTGATCAGAAGTTGAGAAAAGATGGAAACAGCGGTGTCATATTGAAAGAATACATTGTATTATAGTGTGCTCACATAAATACATATAGAAGTGCAAACAACAAAACCCTTTAAGTCTTTTTTTACTTTAAATTAGTAATTTATAACTATATAAAGCAAAAGAAAAGACGATGGAATTTCATTTCTGTTGCTTTGAGCAGAAGAAATTTCTTTGTCCTCATTCGGTCTGTATTATTATTATATAGTAATTTACGACTTGGGCTCTTCCTGGTGACCCCCTCAGTAATTTCATTGAAACCCTTTGGAAATTGTTAGCTAGGTAACTTCTAATTTCGTTGTTGACCCAGCCGCCCTCTATTGAAGAGAGACGACGAAAAGTCCAAGTCAATGACATTGGAATATTGGATCTATCTTTCTTATATGAATTAACTCTCTTTAACCAGAATATAGGTTGGGATTTTAAGATTGAAATTGGAATATTGGATCTATCTTTCTTATATGAATTAACCCTCTTTAACCAGTATATAGGTTGGGATTTTAAGATTGAAATTTGAACATGTAAAAAATGTTAAGGGAGGTTGGTGATACATATATAGAGCTATAGTGGGATGAAGTTATAATTCTCCAGCTTAAGAATATATGGAAAATCAGTAAAATTACTCCTTGAAGGCTGAACTTGAAAATGCTAATATAATATGTCATACAATTAAAATTAATATCAAAATAGCATGTGAACAGATGAAGACATCAAATCATTGACTTCAGCATAAGACTGAGAGACTAGAAAAATAAATACACGAAACATCTTGCCGACACCCATTGGACAATGTTGATTTGGGGCATTGCTTTCTACGAAAACTCTTGGATTGAGTCAACTTACCTACCAGTCCAGGCTACCACTAGAATTCTTTTTGATGTTTGTATTGATAAAGGCTTCCATTATTGAAGTCATTGTTTAGCATGTAATCCTTTCTTGAATATTATCATTCATCCCAAACATGGGATTAGAAGCAATAGTGCTACTTTTGTTGCACCAAACTGAGTAATTAGTTTTTTTTGTTTGGCAAACAAGGTGTCCGAGGCTGTTACGCGTAACACGCAACTCAACTAATATCCGGGGTTCAATAAGCACCCTACAAGCCTAAAGGACCGAATAAACCACAATGTGATTGTGGTAGAAAAACCCAAGGTTTGAACCCTAAAACTCGAAGAAATAAACAAACCTTTTTTACTGTCAAACCAACCCCTTTGGGTTAAAATCAGTAATTAGTTTTTAACCTCTAGAAAAGTTGAAATGACTTTCTTGCATTGTTAGTTTTGCTTTTGCATAACTTTTTGTTCTGTAATGTATGCACACAGCTGTATTCAGAATCCAGATATGCTTCTATCAAGTAAGCAAAATGAAGTGGGGACAAGTAAAATTCAAGGCTGAAGATCTGAGAGTAAAGGGGAACAAAAAAGATAGTGTGATTCACAAGTAAAATACTAATATACATACAAATGATAAGGGATTGTTTGTTTCATCTTTCTTCTTTGGCCAATACAAGAGAAGATTGTTTATAAAATAAACTCAATACATTAGGCATCACATATTCGTTGTTGCTCCCATGATTTCATTCAAGAAGATAGTTTTCCCGGGAATCTTTCTATTCATTGGCCAAATATAATAGATGACTCTTTCAACAAGTAAAGTCAGTACAGTAATCATCACATATTTGCTGTTGATGACCTGATTTCATCCAAGGAAATGGTCTGCATAGGAAGAAAATATGGTTGCATAAAAATATGACATGAAAAGATTAAAACATAACTAGCAGATTACCAAAGCTTTGGAAACAATATTTTTCGCTCATCTACCATGTGTGTAAGCATACAAGTGTGTATACACTGTTTCAGTGTCAATAATGAAAGCTAAACATAAAAAGTCTCAACAAGCAAAGTAATTCTCTTCACAAGTTCCAATTACAGTCGGTGCAATTAAATTTGATGAAAATAAACTTACATGAGGTTTTAAAGCAATTTGTAATTCTTGATATACATTTGATAATATGACAAGATTTGAAAGCTTTTAATGATGCTTGATACATATTTATGATCTGACTTTGAGTGATAAGTTAATGAGATTACCTGATCTTGGCCAGCAAAATCATTATCTGGAGTGAGAAAGAGCATGCAGTGGCACTCCTTCCTGCCAAGAGAAACATACAACAAAATTCCTTAGATCAAGCCAACTTGATATTTGATCGCATTTTCCCTTCCTAAGCCTGATTCATTACCTCTTACGAACTATCCATACAACTTTCTTTTCTTAATCCTATAGCATTCCCTCAGACAACCCTATGGCACACTTTAAGACAATAAAGACTACCTACTAGTAAGATAATTGATATTTTTCCATCCGTGACCCCACCTAGTCCATAACGTAGCTTCAAAAAAGTCCTTCACGAATGAAGGTAATTTGTCCTCACGCTGTAATATTCACTAAATGACTATCTAACGTGAAGCAACCAAAAGTGATATCAAATGAATTTGCACAGCATAATATTGGAATCCCTTAGGCAGCTGGTTGTATTGGTAAGTTGATGTTGACACCTTTTAAAATAGTAAGAAACACCATTTTAAAAAAGAAGTTCCTAATAAGATATTGGCAAGGGAGATGATATATTACTTTGATACCAGCTATCAGAAAATATAAAATACCCAAACAAGATCAAGAATTCTTATTTGTATATATAACATATGTGTATCAAAATTATGTAAACTTGTTTCCTCAGAGACTCCATCATGACCAAGATGAACTAGTATGCTACTGAGAAAAATGAAAAGGTCAGAAGAAACATGTGTATGATTGAGAGAGTTACTATCTTCTACCCATGAGATTGAAGTGAGTTAATTTCAAGGGTTACTCTCACCCATTTGTTTAGGAATATTTGGTTAGTGATCACAATGGCGTTGACAGGCTATTTTATCTTCTCAAAACTAGTAGCATGATTTAGCTAATGTGACCTTACATGTTTTATTTCTATACACCAATAATAGGATAGATCATGATAGATCATGCTATCTTCTCACATGAGAAAGCCTCTATACTCACCATATAAATGAATAAGGCATTGAGTCAACTCACTTCATGGGCATAGTATAGCAACCCTCCCACTCAAACACACATGTTTGTCTTCTCACTTATATTGCTCTTGATCCAGCAGCAAGCTCAATTGGTTGCCATGGAGTCTCTAAATCCATGTAGAGTTTATCATTTTTAATGCCCAATGTTGTATATATAAAATGTTTGACCTGTTTTGGTGTGTAAAATTTTCTAATAATTAATATCATAACCGAACAACATAGGCCAAAAAACCTTTAGTAGCAACCATTTCCTATCAATTATCATATATACTCGAAAATATTTATTACTACACAAAAACAAAGAAAATGCATCATACAAGCATGCTAATAACTAAGGTACTGAGGTACAATCCAGAAAGGCAATGCAGTAAAAACTTCTAGCTAATTAATTCCAAATGAACATCTTTCACACTCAAATATAATCCAAAAACACAACAATAAAATACTTTTAATAAGCTACCCAACAAAAGGAAGACACAAAGAAATTGTTTTATGGCTATAATATGGTTTCATAGTTGTAAAGATATCAGACCTTTCTCTCATCGGAACACATGGACAGTTCCAAAAGCCCTGTTGGGCTTCAGCAGTTTTGTCATCATAATGCCTGTAATGTAATCAACCCAAATTTGAAGAGTTATTACATGAAATTTAGACATAATTTAGACATACAAATAAATAAGTTTTATGTTGTGTACCAATATGGAATTTATAATGAAAATCAACAAATATGCATATCCCTGGACAAGAGCCAGATGACAGTAAAGACACTAACCTGCATGGACAAAGAGGTGCACCCAATGAATCTTTATGATCTGCCAATCCCTGCTCAAAATTTTTCAACATTAGTTTTTTTAATGTGTATCTTTTCTTCTTTTCAATCAAGAAAGGAAAAGCATGATAAGTTCAAATCTTCAAGGAAAAAAATATAGATAAAAAAAAAAAAAAAAAAAAAAAAAAATCCAAAGATGGGTCTCAATGATTATACTACATTTTGAAATGACTGTATTAGCATTCTAACCAAAGGGGAACCAATGCACGCATAAGGGTGCACAATTAAAAATGGCCAATTTTAAGGAAGAAGATGATTAGTAGAAACAATTAGAAGCTTAAATTAACAGGAAACACCAAAAAGTATACCAACACAAAGTTTTCCAAACCAACTAATGCACCAAGTTCTTCATTCAGCTAATGCCAAATATACAACAATTTCCAAGCTACTTATATTGAAATAAATCGACTGATGTTTTCCTCTGGCACAAATACAGATGCAATCACACATATTCCTCATAGAATTGCCTTTGTTTTCTTGTATTCCTCACAGTTCTTCATCTAGCTAATGCCAATCTGTTTTTTGTTAACCTAAAAATCCACCAGACCCATATAGCAAATTCAAACTCAAAATTGAAGTCCTCATTGAACTTCACTATCTTCAGCAAGTAGGAAACTTGGATTTCACGAGGTAGACAGCTCTGAGAAATTGAACCTCAGATCTTTTGGGAGTAAATTACAGGCTTTACCACACAATTAGCAAGCCCTCAAGATTGAAAAATGAAGGCAATAAAGGATCACCAAGCAATTATAACCTCTAAAAACAGTGATTCAACAGGCATAATTCTAAAACATTTCAACAAAATGAACAACACTAAACACAGCCCTCCCTACTTCAATCCCATATAACCATCAAACATAACATTCCAACCAACCCATATGCATTAACTAAACACTAAACTATAATCAATTCACGTCATTTAAATGAAATGTTATAACAACATAAGTAACACCTTTATCCACACAAAAATTAAGGTAAACCCCCTCGATTTCAATCCAAAAAATCTGTCAAACATATCTTTCGCACAAAACCCAAATGCATAAACTAAAAAGTAAGCTATAACCAGTTCAAATTATTTAAAAAACAAATATAAATAAAATGGAGTACCTTAATAACAACAGAAGTGACACCTTTGTCCACACAAAAGTAGGTCCCAGATTTTCTTGCATACTGCTCAGAGAATTTCCTCATTATTTCAACTGATTTATCAGATGGCTCCACTGAAATTAAACAACAGACTCAAAATCCTCAATTCAAGCACAAAACTTTAGAACTGGAAGGCAAAAAAAAATCAAAATGGAGTTGTTCTATTTTTACCTTGGCATCGAATTAGAGTGGCAGGACGGTGCTGGACGGTTCTGGTTCTGGGTGTAGCCGGACAGATGAAGGATGAAATGTTGGAACCGTAGAGAGAGGCTTGTAGAGTCATGTTTGGTTGACACTGAAACAAGAAGAAGAACAAGATTAAGTTTGGTTTTAATGTGTTACATGTGTGTTCGTGTTGAGTTTCGATTGAGTCTTAGGATTTTGGTGATTTTGGTTGTGTCAAAGTTGCAGCCACACGTTGAGAAATATCGGGCAAGAAATTACAGAAGCCACTCAGTTGGCTTCCCTCTGTTTTGGACTTATGGGGCTGGGCCATTGAGTTTGACTTAAAGACAATTTTAAATCCAATCTTAAATTTTTTTTTTTTATCTCAACAGATATTTTTATATAAAAAAGAAATCCAAAAATACCTTAATGAAAGTGGGATCAAGAATGAATAAGCTATAGCTTTCTAGGAGTGCCACCCTTTTGACTGCTTTGTGCTTCCAAGGGGGCAGAATAGTTTGGCAATTTTTTTCGGAGTGGAGAATTATGAAAGAAATATGGGGATTTGGTGAAGTTGATATTGAATGAAAGAATTGAAAATTTTCAGTGTATTTGAAGAGGAGGATATTATAACAGTCATTCAGCTTTTATAGAGAGTGACTTTTAGTTATAACTACTGATCTTCTTCTATTTAGGGAGATATGTAATTAAGAGGTGGATCCTGCAGTTGCATGAACAATGGCTGGAAATCAGATGGGAGTCAGTAATATAATTGAATGTTGTATGACTTGTAGCTACGCCTATCCTCAAATGAAAAGAGTTTCCTTGATAAGATCAACTTTTCTAAAACCCTCTACTTCTTTTCAACTTTTTCTAATGGGGTTTCCTTTTCTTTGAATCACTGATGGCAGCAAAGTCTGTCAGGATCAGGCTATCTTCTGCATACTTTTAGCTGTGTGTTTGGTGGGGGCCGTGCCATTTCTATCCCTTTGATGGAACTGCTCTTAATTTCCACATATGAAAACTATTTAAAATAGAGTATTGTTATATTTATATCATTTTTTTTTACGTTATTTTGTAAACATCATATCATATGGTATATATTACAATTATATAAATTCTATTATAATATTAAAAATTAAAAATAATTAAAAATTTGTATGATTGTGACATATGTCACATCATAATATAATGAAAATTGTGTAAAAGAGTGATATAAGTGTAACATTACTCTTTAAAAAGAATACCGGTAACTAGTGATGGCAATGGGCCGGGCTGGGACCGGGTACCCCTTGGCCCAGGCCTAAGCTCGACTTCATGACAAAGGCCCAAGCCTAGCATGGGCCGATCACAAGTATGACAGGTAAAGCCCAAGTCCAATCCGATGAGCTTTTTGCAATCTCAAGCCGGCCCATTTTTATAATGGGAATTTTTAAATACTAATAAATTTCAATTTTTTTTTTATTCTAAAAATGATTTTTAAATACTCACCAAATATATAAATAACTTTCTATAAAGTGCATTCATCCATCCATATAGCGTTTGGGAAAAATGAGTATGTATATATAGGATAATCTTGTAATTAATATATAGTATAAGGGTAATTTAGTATAATTAATACTAAAATTGTCCGGTCGGACCTAAAAACATACATAAGCTCAGCCCATACCCGAGGTCGGGCTTTAAAATTATGCCCAAACCCAAGCCCACAAACATCGGGTAAAGCTTGACCTTTTCGGGACGGGCTAGGTTAGGTCGGTACCTAGAAATATAGGCCCATTGCGCCATCTCTACTTGCAACACGACATTTATGCCTTTGTTCAATCATAAATAATGAATACATCAATGTCTAAGCATATTGCCTATATATATATAAGAAAACTGAAACTTTCTTATTTATGGATTCTTTATTTGGTTTTATTTTTAGCCCGTAAGATTAAGATCATGATCACATATAGTTGTCACATAAAATCAAAACACTGCGTGTAAGTTAATGAAGGGTTAAATATATTTTATTTTCGCCAATGGCCTTTGAAAGGATGAAAATTATTGATCTCAAAGATGAACGAGCCAATAAATGTAAAAATGTAACTTAAACATTGATTAATGGGTTTGGGTAGAACTCAAACTCAAAATTTAGCGATGTGAGACAAATACAATTTATAACACCCTCACTCACACCCTCCCTGCATGTTGGCCCTCCCTCACCCTCTTTCATGCTCGGCGTATAGGGTAGCAAGATCCAAACGTAAGGTGGCTCTCTCTCCCCCTTTCACGCTCAATGTGCAATGCAACCGTTACCTTCCCTGCACGTTGACCCTCCCTCACCCTCCTTCATGCTCAGTGTGCAGGGCAGCAGGATCCAAACCTAAGGTGGCTTCCTCCCTTACGTACGCTTGGCATGTAGAATCCCTTACGCTCAACGTGCAAGGTAGCAGAGTCTAAACCTAAGGTGGCTCTAATACTATGATAAATGAGTTTAATTAGAACTCATTCTCAAAAACTAGTTCAAGGGAGGAGAGAGTCCAACCACTTATATACATTATAGCATTCTATCAATTTTGGGATGTGAGACAAATACAACTTCTAACAAACATATTGAAAGGCTGTCTAGCAAGCTTAAAATTTTTAGAGAAGATAATTCATGTAATGTTTTGGCTTTGTCTTTGGCTTTTAAATAGCTGAAATTCAAGAAAGTGTTGCTTTCAAAGCAACAAAATACAACTGCCATACTTTTAATTAAAAAATAAAGCACGTATACAACGTTGTCATGACCATTTCATTAATCTTTAACTCTTCCAAGCTCAAAATTTTACAGAAGTCTTTGTATTAGTATGATGTATAGAAGCTGCATGGCTTTGTACTCTGATATTGCAGATAAACAAAGAACCGATAAATCAGGATAACTAAAATATGTATGTAAACAAACCAGATACAAGAAATCAGGAGAATCAAGATAAATAATCAGATACAAGATGTGTGGTATATATCACAGTTGCGCATATATTCTCCATGAAAATCAACCTGATCAGAATTATATATTATTTATTACATAATTATTACAATATAATTCGAGCTCCAAATATAACTACAGATTTGTGTTCTCCATTGAACATTAATCTCCAAGAAGATTGAGATATTAGAAGAGCATATAATGGTGGGAAAAAATACACGCACGAAGAGGAAAACTTGGGAACTATAAATTGGTCAAGAGAGTACAGAAAAATAACGTGTATTTTAATTATAAGCATGAGACGTTATCCATGTATCCGTATATATGTAGCATACATAATTGTTCTAGTCCTCTAGACAATCATATATAGATAAGATGATTTTTACGTGTAATATGCGGTTGCAGTTGCAGATACAAAGATCAATTTGTAACTAGTCAGAGACAAAGGGTCTCAGCCAAAAGCTAGAACTAAAAACCCTAATCTAAGAAATCTACATTTCTAATTTGTAACTTACTTTTCTATTTGTTTTCATATAAAATTGTATGTGTATATACTTACTATAAATATAGGGATAATAATTAATTCAAAGTCACGTGAGAATGAGATAACGCAAAATATTTGATATAAGGGTTAATAAACACCATGAGTAAAACGTCTTAGAAACTATTATGTATCGGGTTTATATATTCTTACAAATTATATTTTGTATTCTTACAAATTATATTTATGAAACTAAAGTGAATTTCTATTGTGGGTATAAACAAGTTATGTCAAATCACTTAAATACTATGTCTTTTTGTGTTGTATGATTTTATTCTTATCTTATTAATCTTGAATGTATGTCTTCTAACAACAAACATGGGATATCTACCTTCCTTCATGATATGTATATTCCATGGCGGCTAAACAAATGGGTGCTAGATCTTCCTTAATTGATTGAACAACTTTATTACCTCAACAAGGAGTAAACACATGGAAAAGAAGAAACAAGTTATAAACAAGAGAGAATCTTCCACCAGAAACAAAGAACTCACAATTTTTGGTATTTTTTTTTATGAGAATACATGCATGTACATAAATCTCACATTCAATATTATCTTCATAATTAACGGCATACAGAGAACCAAATGTAATGCAAATTCCAAAGACTGCTATTTACTTAGCAAAACATTAAAGTAGTACTAATTAAATTACACATAATTCGGACCAAGATGCTTAATTCCCCGAGAGAGAAGGATCATTTTTTTAAGCATTAATATATGAAGTGTTAAATGGAAACCACACTCTTCCTTCAAAACCAAGAGCTAGCTAGCTATATATAATTATATATAGCTCAGAAATGAAAGACAGAAGGTGACCTGCACACGTTCTTATCAGCATGCGAAGACTAGTCTTCTTTCTTCCTTTTGGTTCTCTTTCTGTATTGCCTTGAAATCAGTTTGTGGCTTAAACTCATTTGATGATAATAAATGAAGAGGAAGGTGTGGGAACAATGATGGCGATAGAGATGATAAGGCGGTGAGATAGAGGTAGAGGACATGATGATTGATGTTGGGGTTCTGGCGTTGAAACAAATTAAAATTCTTTCAAGGGTTTCTGTGCCTAGCTCTCTCTGACTCTGACATTAATAAAGGGAGAGAGAAAGAAAGTGATGACTATGATTCGTCAAACTTCTAAAACCATTAATTTAATCGGTAAAAGCTGCAGCTGACCTAGAAAGGAAGAGTTATGAAACCCAAGAGGTGAGAAAGTGGATTCCAACTTTACCCTACACATCTCATCGATCCTCTAATAGTGATTAAGAGATAGTTCCCCAAGGCTAAGAATATGCCTTCCTGTCTAGCGTGACAAATTATTTTTGTTCTATTGCTTTCTTCTTATCTTAATCTTAGAACTTCCTTTTTGTTTCTTTAGACTAATTAAAAATACAAAAGGTGTTAATACTGCTAAGAGATTAAATGACATCAAATAAATTAAACATTTTCTTTTAACTAAAATATTCAAGATTAATTTACGAATATCTCAATTAATATTAAAAAAAAAACTAATACATAACAGCTTACAACGTCAAGATCTTTCACTTATATTACGAATGTTCAGATGAGAAATTAAAACTGAAATTATAGGTAAATAAATTAAAGATATTAATTTCTTTTTCGTAAATATTTGAAGAAAGGATCTTAAAACACTTTACCCATGTATAAATTAAATTAAAGTTTTATTATAGTGAAGATGAAACATGGGGGTTTAGGTTACACCCAAATTAATAAAAACTTGATTCAAATTAAGGCCTTTGATAAAAATCTAAGGGTGAAAAGTAGAGGTGTCTAATTATACCCACTATTATATTAGTTCTTACGAACAGATTTTTAGGGAAAATATTTTCTACTTTTCTTTCGATGAGACAGACTCTTTACATCTATTGTGCAGGCAATCGTGCATCATCCCTGCAATGCAAATTGTACTAGAAGAAGACGACAATAACTTCAAAGCAGACACGGAAATCAGGGGCCTCGTACTATTTGCCCATGTTAACTCCCCTGGTACAGATCCAACCAGTTTTTCATCATCATTTTAATTTCCTAGACAAACCCTTTACCTCTTTTGGGTGGAGACTTTTAAGTCATTCTCTGTATAACCCTGCCATTTATAGCAATACTCAGACCATGTATAAATTATTATGACAGTATACACATGCTCCCAATTAAACAGCTTGATCAAAGAGAGAGCACCTTCTTTCATGCCCTTGAAACCTACCGTTCTGTGATATATTCTTCTTAATTTCTTCAACTAATATGATTTCAAGTAATCTCTGAATTCATTTTGGAATTTTAGTATGTATCAGTATTGTGTATAGCACAAAAATTGTGTAAAAAACGTGATAGGAAGGAGAAATACGAGAAAAGCATGCATGATTAATGTAACGCTAACTTCATTTTCTAGCAGTTACAGAAAAATCTAGAAGGAGAGATCTTCATTTTCAACAAGGATTAGTTAATTTCTCTGTATCTTCTTCTTTAAAACCCCAGTACTTTTTATATCAATATATTGTGCAGTAAAGTTTATCAAACTCAAACCAGTTTCTCGCAAGCTAAGCTAAATTTGGTGATTCATTTTGATGCTCACAGCACCAGCAGAATCAAGACTCAACAGAAAACTTCAAGAAGCCTCGTTATAAATTTCTAATGGAAGTTGAAACTAATTAATTGAGTTTCATCATGCTATGACAGTCAGAAATAATGGTCACCATCAGCATAGAGTAAGCATAACTTTCAGAACACAAAAATGAACAAAGAATGAAGTAAAATAACTAAGTGAACAACAAAAAAACAAGTTTTGCATCAGAAACCAACAATCTTACTTCAAATACCAGCCAAGCCAAGCCAAGAAATATTACAAAATAAATCTCTATATCTAAACAACCTTATGACTAAATATATAGTTTGCTTGCGAGAAAGACATAAAATATTATAAAAGTTATGTAAACATGAAAAAACCTAGATCCATTTCTCCAGTCCTGCATATTAACTTGCAAACAATAATTAACCAAGGAAAAATACATTAAGTAGGTCAAGAAAATCATAAAACATGAGGAGAGAGATACAAAGTTCACACATTCAATCTTACCATAACATACAAATCTACTTCTTGATGCCCTAAAAACAAAACTCACAAACCACAAAATATAAACCCATATTGTCTAAGAACAAAACAGGATCTAAAAAGTTGCATATTATAAGCATAAAGTTAATACAGAAAATATAGAGAACTTATAGAACTTGTTTGATCTAGAAGATCATCGGACCAAGATGCTTGATTCCCCAGAAGAACACTTCACAGTTCACACCCTTCACCGAACATTAAAAAGAAGGCTGACATAAAGGTGCAGGATGAGGAGAGGTGGAGCCTTGTACATGGAAGAAGTTCATCAAGTTCATGTTTTTGTTGAAGTTGTTGAGAAAACACACATGTGTCCTTGTTTCTGATGTATCTTTCTTCTCCCTTTTAGCAGTAGTGATGATGTTTTTTAAAATAAGTTGGTGGTGATCATCATGATGATGCTTGGAGGTTTGTGGAGTAGTTGTGGGAACAATGATGGTGATGGAGAAGAAGAACAAGAAGAAGATAAGAGAAAGAGAAAGAGAAAGAAAGATGACGATGATCATGATGATGATTACTGAAACAAACAAAAACAAAGAAAGAAAGAAAGGTGGAAAATTCATTCAAGGCTTTTTGTGCCTAGCTTTCTCTTCTCTCTCTCTCTCTCTCTTCCTCTTTGTGTGTTCTGACATCAAAGATAGAGAGAGATTATGATGATGATGATTCATGAAACCCGAGACTCCTTTTTTGGTATAAATTACTTGGAGTGTGAGAGAGAAAGTGATTACCATTCATTAAACCCAAGGCTGATTAGGGTTCTACCAACTGTAATTGTTTAATTAAACGTTACAAAACACCCCTTTACTATAAAGTTTCATAAACCCTTTATTAAATGTTTGAATTTTGAGGCATTTCTGCTCAAAACTATATATTATATGTAATGACAGGAACCATATGCATTCTAGGGTAAAAGCTAAAGCAGCATGATTCATGAATTGCATTGCATTATAATTGTGTTCAATACCCTCCAAATATAGATCTTAATTGATGTTACGGCAAAAGTTATGACTATGGACACTACGAATAGTTATGATTTTCAATAAAGTTATTGAATCCATAAGATAATTATTGATACAATAATATAATTTATTTTATAGTGTAATAATTATGTCGAAATCTTATTTTAATTATAATCGTCAATGACATTATTGATTCGATAATATAATTAATTTTGTAGAGTAATAATTGTTTCATTTGACACCGCATCTTAATTACGATAATCAATAAAGTCATTGGATAAACGACAAATGACTTTGTCATTTTTTTTTTTTAATTTTGTCGTTTTTCAAACAACTTTTCTCTCACTTGTTATAAAAAAAAAAAAAATTAATCATCTTGAAAGTTAAGTGATCGTCGTTTTTCAATCTCTCGAGACCCTAAAATTAATAAATAAGACCTCTTGAATTATATACTTAAAATTCTCTATTCGAACCACTTGAACGGGTAAAGGTGGTGTATATATCATAATATCACAGTACATGTCCTACTCGTGTTGGATGGACGCACATTCAACCGAAGATTTTTCCTATAAATCATATTTCAACCTCCAAGAAAAATGTTGCGTTGGCAAAATAAATTTAATGTTTTTCATTTGCATCGTTTGGGTTGCATGTAGCCCTAACCAAATATGTAAACTTTCATGAAAACAAATTTCAATGGCATTCTATACAACCTTGTACCAAATTTACATCTATAAACAAGAAGCCGGAAGTTGGATATAGAGCTGACCAATATTAACATAACTCATCAACTACCAGCTCTATGGATGATGGACAATTATAGAGATTCCAAATGTTAAAATCAAAAGAGGTGGTGATTTTTTGCGGAGCATCAGTATCTAGTTCTTTGGAGCCCTATCACCAGCTTCTTTGAAGATGGTACCTCACCATCCATGTTGCTCTTTTTGAAAATAACAGAAGTATGCAGAGAGGAGAGGGTCTTGAGTGTCTCGAGAGACAGCATTCAGGGCCAAAAATGACCCTTTGAAGAATAACTCATGCCTGGTCACTTCTGCAGCGGATTCTGTGAGGAAACAATGCTGACGGTTGTGCATGCAAATGCGATGAATTGGGTATCACTGAATGATCCAGAAATATCTGATTTGTAAAGTTATTCTGCACATCCAAAAAAAAAAAAAAAAATGGAGTTTTTCACTTTGCTGTCAGAAATCCTTTTGTGTCATAATTAATAGCCATGGCATGAACGATTGCAGCAAATACCTTTGGCACAAGCTTACAGTCCAGCTTCTGAAGTAGCCTCATGCCCTTGTTGATCTTGCAATCCACATTCAAGTCTGATTGCTGCAAGAAGCTCCGGAGACACAGCAGGCCGTAGGTCAACCTTTCTGCCAATTGATGATTTATCTCTAGCATTCTTCTTACTCCTGTAGCCAGATTCATCTTCTGCACCCCAGCCCCTATACAATATGACTTTACTAGGTTCCTGAGAAACTAAAACTGCCCCTGTTGCTTCCTGTGTGATTGATGAGGAAAACATGTCATCACAGCCTTTTTCAAAACACTTTATGTAGGCAGAAATAAAGCAGAATTCAGGAGTGCACACCTGCAGTTTTGCAACCACTTCCTGGACTGAAGTCCCTTTGGCTCTGCCTTTGACGTTTACTATAGCCAGAGGATACTTTCGAAAGTGTTCTTTTATGGTTTTTGCAACACCAGTGACAATGTTGCTCTTCCCTATTAAGTTAAATCAATAACAGAAATAAAAATAAAAACTGAGTTCCCATGATTATAGCAACAGTTGCAATGAAAACGGCAACAGAGGTCAAGCAAGGACCATAGAAGGGAGAATAGAAATTACCTACTGCAAGCACTGGGCGTTTCTTCATTTTCAGAGCTTGCTTTCGTAGCAGAAGCCTATCTCTATTGGAAAGATTTACCACTCTGGAAGCCATCTCATTCCACCCATTTTCAGTCACAGCCGGAACTGGTAATTCTGATCTATTTATGGCTGATTTAAGTGATGGCTCTATTGGCTCAGTACCAAATGAACAAATATCAGCATTGACAGAAGAACTGCCAATTCCTTCTTGCTGAGATCCAGATGAGCTAGATGAACAATTCTCAGCATTAACAACAGCAGAACTAACGTTTTCTTCTTGCAGAGATCCAGATGCGATGGATGAAAAATCCTCAAAATTAACAATGGCAGAGTAGACCATTCCTTCTTGCTGAGGTCCAGATGAGCTGGATGAACAATTCTCAGCATTAACAACAGCAGAAGAGCCCATTCCTTCTTGCTGAGATCCAGATGAACAAGTCTCAGCATTAACAACAGCAGAATAGCCCGTTCCTTCCTGCTGAGATCCAGATCATACACCAGATCAGTATCTCAAGAAAAAATATAAAACAACCATACAAGGAATTCTAGTTATTACCACAATATTATCAGGGCATGAGGCAGAGTCAGCAGTTCTACTTTCCTGGGTTACATTACTTAAAGATAAAGATGATGACTCAATTTCAGTTTTAAGCGTCTCCATCCCATTATATGTCGAAGAGAAATCAATCAATTTATCCTGTTGAGTTGCCTGTAGACTGACTGTAGCATCCTCAGGATCATTTGATTTTATGCAAGTCGAATCAGCTCCATGTTTCTCCCTAGCCTTAAGAAATCACACCAAATATCATTTAGGCATAAGATTTGTAGATATGCACATTATCTTCATATGATGCCAGATGGACATATTTGAATGCTCTGCATTTATTAGGGATGCCAATTAAATCTACACATGTCTAACTGCATATGTATTTGATTTTCTTTTTGGTCAGCATTGTTATGGAAGGATAAACTAGGTGTATCACTTTGTAATTAATAGCAGTTACAAGGTATTAACTTTGACATGCATATAAGCCCAAATGAGAGAGCATCATTTAACACAATTTACTTCCCAAAACCAAAATGCATACATTTTACCTCTAAGTTCACTTGTATTGGAATAGGAATTACTGTTTGAGAGTTATCACTTGAATTAAGTTCAAAATCTGATCTTACATTAGCTGACTGCATATCGTCCATCTCCTCTTGAACCTACATTAAGGTAGGGCTAAGTGATTTTACCTCAAAATCATAAAGCCAATTGAGTGAAAAGGGCAGAGAAATAAAACAAACACAAGTCAGCTCACCAGCGGTAATCTTGATTTATCAACTGGTTGCATAGTATTTGCTTCCTTGTCTTTAACCTGTGTCAAATCAGTATTACATAACTTATCTCCATTTGATTGCGTAAATAAAAGCATAATTTCAAGGGGAAATTTTTTACGAAGATTGCTGATCCAACAAGAAACAAAAACATGAAATGACTTACCAACTGATATCTCAAATTGTTTATGTTTCGGGTTAGTTCCAAAACATGTAGCTTCAAAGACTGCAGAGCAGGAGCACAAAAGAAATAAGAAGCTGAGGTACGCATCACCAGAGATCAACTTTTAAAAAGGAATAAGCAATAATAATAAAGATTTCTCTAAAGATGACATGCCTAAACTGAGCAACACTCACATAATACAATCTGATTTAAAGTCAGAGTAGCCATTAGTGTGCGTGTGCGTGTGCGTGTGCGTATGCCTGCATACATGTTACCAATTTACCTCACGACGCTGAGCTTCTACAGAACGTTTCAATGCTTGTCTTTTAGTCAGCAGCGTCTTAGGCCTCAAAGATGTAGGCCTTTCATAATTCTTTCCCCGATACATAATAATTGCATAACCCTTACTCACTCTCTCAACTGCCACTAAAATACCACCACTTTCTGCTTCTAAGGTTCGTGCTTCTTGATGAACAGCTTCAATGCTTTTCTGCTTAGATATTATCTTCACAAGTTCCCTATATTTCCAATGGAGATGCATGTTTTCAACTGTTCCATCAAAAACCCCCCGTCTACCTGAACACAGAAAGAAAAGTTGTGCATTAATGCCTACTTCGAAAGGAGCCCAATGTTTGTAGATCTTCTAAAACCCCTTGAACTCACTCATGAGGAGGAAAAATAACAAACTAGCTGATCTGGGTTCAAATCTCATGCTAGATGGAAAAACTCACCCATTAGTAGGAAAGCTCGCATTCTTAAGCCAACCTTTCTTAGCATATATCTTTCTTCTTTAGTTATACCCTCTTTATCTAATTCAGGTTGTTGTGATATTTCCTTCTTCTCCAGCTCAGCTAAAAGGTTCTCTGCCTTAGCTTTCCTTTCTAATGCCTGTAGAAGAAAATATATTACATGTGTAAAAGAAATTAAAACTTCAACAAGAAGTCAAACAAACTCTAGCAACTTATTTTAAAAAATACCATTGACAACTTTATGCTAGTCCTTCTAATAGCTTCCTCAGCAGACATTTGTTTCTTTTGTTCTGACTCCGCAATATTTTGCTGGTCATTCATATCATTAAATTGATTTTCAGAATCAGACTCTACATTATCTCCAGAATTAACCTCTACATTCCCAAATTTAAGCTCTGGTGCAGCTTTACTTGATGTACTAAACTCTATCCTCTGTTTCTCACGCAGAATTCCATGTTTTCTTCGTTCTTCAATTGCAGAGGAAACAGCAGCCGGCAAGAAATCCTTTCCCCTATAGAGGACAATAAATTCTTTATCCCGGGAAAGCAGACTCCCTCCAGTCAACCACTGCATTTAAGGATATAAATATATATTTAATAAATGTCTGTGAAGACATTTTACATGAATAGAAATTCAACAAGTGGTAGCAAGAGTTATCAAGTTAAATTTTTAAGAAAGTATGGACCAGAACACTGCAAATATAAGGAATTAATTACATTAACTGACAATTTGAGACTACAGTGGTTAGCTATTTTAATTCCTCTTGACAACCAATTTTGATTTCATAAAAATGAATATATTAAGAGAAATGAGTTAAGAGCTTCAATCACTATGATAAACATTTGCAGAGCTTTAGAAAATATATTATGACTTCCACAAATGCAAGAAGATAAACTCCTAACTGTTTCCAAACATGATATAGTAATCTAGTCTCAGACAAATAAAGAACTTTAACATCTAAGCATGAAAAAGGAATCACAATTTTAAATTGCTCAAAACAACACAAAAGTTAAACTCAAATGGCCAAGACAAAACAATCACTAACTTTTAACTCTTCAGCCATCAACTCACTGTTAGTGTTCTGTACTCCTCTCTTGATTGCAACCTTGGCAATCTCACATTTTTCCCAGAGCTTAATTATGGCAGCAGCCAATCCCTGAAGTTTCCTATTTCTACCTGTTATAAAGAGGAAAAAAGTGAATGTTATCTAGAATTATAGACAAATACGAAACTTAAAATGAGTTTAAACTCACCCAATGCAAAATGGCAGGGTAAGGGTTTGCCAAGTCTTCTTAATGTGGTCATTTCATCATTTGTGAGTATTGGCTGCACACCATAGGGAAGAAGGCGGAAGGGTCTCCTGTAACCAGGTATTATGGCAGGTAGAAGATCAGCATCAACAGGTTGAGGGTCATACCCCCACCAATCAGTAAACCGAGGACCCAGGCCATCTAACAAACGATCAGCTTCTCTGGCAAGTTCTTCCTCACCTGGCAATTGAAATCTTACTTTATCTGGAGAACCAACACCATGAATTAAGGTTGGTTGAACCCTTCTGTTGGTTGGACTTTGTCCAGAAGGTTTTACACCATTGGTGCCATCAACGCCAGAAGAGCAGCTATTCATTGTATCAAGTACTCCACTATCCACATCTGGATCAGGTGAAGTATCAGGAGAAGCATCATCTGTTGTACTTTTATCAGATAAGAAGTACGGATACTTATAATTGGCCCCCCTATACAATATTATTTTGGTTCCGGACCTCCAAACAACCAAGCCTCCAGTTTTTTTCTGGAAATGCCACAAAAGAAGAATAACATTAGAGCACAATATTTGGGGACTCAGTAGTAACCACATGTCAAACCTGATCTTCAAATGAATACTTATGTTTTAGGATTCTATTTTTAGTGAGATATAGGATTCACTTTGCAGCATGCATACTGAGACTTTCTTCATAACATTACAAAAGAATCTCAAACGTCATCCAACAAGGTGTTTGTGAGTGGAACAGAAAACTCTAATTGAGGTTTACAATGTTGGGAAGTTATTGAAATCACAACTCCACAAGGACAAGAATGTGGGGAAATATAGGATGAACAATGACAAATTAAAAATTGGAATGATTTAGCACGTTATGCATATAGAATTTTATGCAAATTCAAAGTAACTAAAGCATTACTATAAAAGTTCAAAATTTTGGTTGGAACTGAACATCCACCACTTTTGGCCTAAGTTGGCAAGGCCAGAGTGTATTATGAAGGATCAGTTTCTTGAATGAACTTTCAATTATGAGCATCTTTACCCCAAATGTAGCCATTAGAGTTTCTTTTTCTTTAGTTAAACATAGCCATATATACCCAATTCAACCAAAATTGTGAACACAAAATCCCAGAAGAAAATACACAACAGAAGCAGTCATCACATAAACAATAATTAAACAAAAGATACCTCCAATAAATCATGGGTTCTCTTCATATTCAATCTACACAAATCCTCACACACAATCTTCACCACCTCAGTATTTCTCCACCTCTCGTGTATCCCATTCACGATCCCCTCCGTAATTCCAGCTTTCCCAACTTTCAACTTTTTCCTCAACCCAATCCCAATTGTTCTCAACCTTCTCAAGTCTTCTCCTGAAAGTTTCAACTCAGCCAATGAAGGCACAACCTTCTCTTTTGGTTTCTTGTACAACTCCTTTTGCTTTATCACTTCATTTCTCAACTCATTGTACCTCACAATAGCCTCTCCTGAACCCGGCACGGGTACCGGGTTTTCCGGCGTACTCCAGCTGGAATCCATAGTATAGCCCACCCGAAACTTGGGAATTCTATTGGGAAGTGGGATAAATATCTCCCCTGCGGAGTTTTCTTCCAGGGTTTTGGGTTCAAGGTTTTGGGTTTTATCTGGACCCGCTTCTTCAACTATGCCTAGACTTCGAAGTTTGTCAGCAATGCGTTGAATGGCAGATTTGGGGAGCTTTTGGAGATGGGTTTTGGTTTTGGTTTGAGGGTTTTTTGCGGTGGAGCATTTGATGATGGTTTTGGAAGGGCTGTGAAGGGTTAGGGTTTTGTGGATAGTGAAGAATGAAGGAGAAGAATTTGGAAGGGTCTTGGGTGGCAGTGCAGGGTTGTGGTAGTACAAAGAAAGCATCATTTCATGGATGAAGATTGAGAGAGAATTTGTCTGAAGATGAGACTTCAGAGATGAACGTTAAAAAGCAGTTAACAAGATCATGCCATTTATATAATATACCTATCTACTCTCTTGTCACGTGCTTCTCACGTGTTTGGTGTTTAGATTACTCATCCCCGCCATGATATCTAAAGGACAATATCTTCAGTCTTTTATAGTTTTCGGATTATGGCTTGTCTAGTTCCCTAAAAATATGCTTATGTATGTCTTGTTATATCAATGCTTTGGCTGGAAACTTGAAATCTGCTGATGTTTAGACAAGTAATTTCTTTAAACTGTATGCACAATTATTTAATGCAATTTAAGCTCTGTTGACAATCAGAATAACATGTTTTTAAAGATGATGATATATCATATATGGCTTCTGCTGCTGGTTGAGTTGTCTTCCCAAGTCAAGACTTAATTGTTCCATCTGAGCTTCTGCAAGATTTTAAAGCTCAGATTTTTGGACAAACAAGGTAGAACCGTAGAAGTATAAGTATGCACTGTATGTCACTGTGCAAAATGAAAAAACAATTTCAGAAAGTTCACTTTTAAGAATAATATGTACATGGAGTTTAAGATTGTCAAACAATAAACAGCAATTTTGTTTCTCTGATTATTTGATCAGAGAGTACAATGAGGCATAACTTGAAAATAAAGCAATATACATCAATAGCTGCAGGTTTATTTACATATAATCATTTGTTACAAACACTTGGCATTTGCGCCCAACACAAGCATGCATAAGAATTGGGAATTAGATGGTATCTGATTGAACCAAGGCAAGGTTGTTCCTGCAAATGAAAGAGACCCCATGTGTGGGGGAAAATGCATCAGCAAAGAAATAAAAAGTATTCACTTGAGATACGAAATATTTCTCTTCATTCCACTAGTTGATTTGTATTACAGAAAGGTGTTTATTTCATTATGTATTTCGGCTATTTGATCTAGAGTACAGACACTGTTACTGCTCTATCACTCACTGTTTATAATGCAGGTACTCATCCACTGTTAGAGGCTTAGGCCCGCCAAACCAGTTAATCATAAATATATCTTCCATCTCTAATTTGAAGAACTGGAAGTTGTGGTCCTTAGGCCAACCTATCAACCAAGGAAAAAGAAGACAAAAATTAGTCAATATAGGAAGAGAGAGATAGCAGCTGGATCATCTGCTACTAGCCTCCATATTAAATAAATTTGCAGGTAATTACCCTTCATCTCTGGATGCTTTGAGAACAAGTTGCTTTTAGCCAATTTTGCTTCTTCAGACTTATTGTCGAGAACCACCAACTAACAAACCATAAGATGCAGAATTAATCCACCTTAGTCCTAATCGGAAGGGATAAGCAAAACAACATAAATGCTATGCAAGTTTACACATAATACAAGTATTGCATACATCTAATGAAAATAGCTATGTCCAAAAACTGGAAAGTAGAAAATACATAATAAGCCACAAATTCAGTGGCCACATAAATAACACATGGATATACTTTAGCTTGCAACGCACCTTTCCTGTGAGTGTAATTTTCGCACAAACAGGATTCTCAGGGTCTCTTTTGCCACAAGTTCCAAGAGGGTACTCACTAATTGTTAGTGAAGACCTCTGGTCCTTTAATGCATTACTGGCAGTAGGATCAAGAGTTGTCAAATAGAAGTATGGGACACCACTACCTTCATTAGGTAGTCCATCACTAAATGAAACAACATTCCTGCATTGAGAATTTCATAACACAGTCAACAAGCTAGTTTAAATGCAAGTAGAAAAGGCAAACTTATTGCTTTACTGTGAGTTATCATATCATGAATAAGCATAACAAAAATATAACTTTACTTAAATATAGCAAAAGAATATAAACAAGTGCATGCTTGTGTATCTGTGTGCATAAGCAAGTGTGTCCATACACGTGTGAGTTGTGTTTCAAGTGTGAATGTTTAAGAAAGAAGGTCTCTGAATGTGGATTGCAATTGTTATTTTATGCAATTACAAGCCCAAGTTGCATACACCTTAAAACAGAGTGAAAAATAACAATCCATGCTTCTGTTGTTCGCTTTATACATAGATTAATATTGTATATATTAGGTACTATTTCCAAGGGAAACAATCTAAATATATGCAGTTCAAAAATTGAGAAAGGATATAATAATTTTCAGTGAAAAAATTAGAAACAACTTACCCAAATGGTGCTCCTCCCAAGTCACTTGATATAGTACTGCAAATTCAAAGGAAAATCAAGCTTAAAACTACAACAATACCTCAGATTCTCAATATAAAATTTTTACACAATCTCGCGAAAATATGATTAACAAAATACCAACAACAAAGGTATCCCAAATTCAAACCGTTAAAATGTTCATATGGACGTCAATATATCCCCAGAAACAGAAGAAATCAGCAGCATATTCCAAATTCAAAAGAAAAAAACTAAACAGCATCTATTCTAACTGAAAAAAACCCTTAATTTAACAGCAAATGTTCTAATTGCCCCCGTTATTATCACTTTCCAGTAAACACTAAAACAAGCAAAAACATAAAACCTTCTATTTGTGCCCATTAATATTTTCTCAGGTAAACAGAAAACAAACAAAAATATAAAATCTTAAACCAAAAAGAAGCCAACCCATTACAAATTACTGAAATTTAACATTCGCCAATCCTATAATCCAATATAACCAATCCTCTACCCAAAATTTCTATAATCAACACAAGCAGAAGTACACACAAAATAAAGTTGATTAATACAAGCTAATAAATAGTAAAAGTTAAAGATGAAAGATTGAGATTTTACTTTAAGACCCCCCAAGAATTTTGAGAGACCAACCAACGAGCATAAGCAGGTGCATCGTTTCTGTGAGGTTTCAAGACTGAACTCAGCAAGCGACCCTGCACAGAATTTTGGATGCCCACAACAAAAAACAAGAACAACAAAACTATGAAACTGTTAACAAGGCTTTTCAGTTCCATGTTTTTGCAGAGTTACAAAGTCAATAAGAAAGATGAACATCAACTGTCTTTTGTATCTCTATTTATAGCACAACTTCGTGGATATCTACAAGGGACAAATACAGGGAACCCCTGAAGTTTCAAAATAACAAAAAAAATCCCCTTAAAGATGCAAAACATAGGGTGTATTAAAGTATTCTTTCTATAATTAGATAGTACAGCAAGCCATCGGTTGGTTGCTTCAGTTAATAAGTTTCGCTTTGAAAAGGAAAAGACAACATATTGTTTAAAGGTAAGTTGTTATTGAGTGAAGTTGAGTACACCATAAGAACGTTTTTGTGGCCTTTTTGCAGTAGTACATTTGAGGAATAGGGAAAAGGACAAGCTTGAGAGGAGATTTTGACATTTTGTTAGCAGATTTGGTGCATTGGGTTGTAGCAGAACCTGAAATTTTGGGTACCACATTATGGGCCAGAGGCTTATTTTTTTTTTATCAGTTATCCACTTTGTATGGGCTTGAAGCTTGATCTCTCATGCTCACATGGACCATCCATCTTGTAGGATGGTTGACCTTGACCCTCCAAAAAGGCACTTATTATATTAGGAAAAATGAGAAAAATATGACTTTGATGAACTATCATTTAGGTTTGAGGATAAGAAAGTTATAGAAACAGAACATAATCACATATGTTCAGATAAGCAATTTATTTCCCAATCTTGTTCAACTCAACAGATTGCCAATCTATCTTAACTTCGATGCCTTAGAGTCTGTTTGATTAAGCTTATGAAAATTAGTTTATAAGTATTTGAAATTTAAACAGTTACGTGTTTTGTTAATATACTTATAAATGACAGATAAGTAGTTGACGCGTTTAATAAAATGTGGATTATAAATACATTTTATTATTAAAATAACTAAAAGAGTACTAAATTATTTTATCAAATAATAAATTATATTAACTCAATTTTTTATTATAATATTATCAAAATATATTTTAATCATATTATAATATAATTTAATTTTAGAATTAAAAAATCAAATACTTTATAGATAATTATTTTATAAAAATATGCGTAGATTGTTTGAAATATAAAAATAAGCTTATATAATGAAATTTTAAAATTAAATAAAATTAATATAATAATATATTTAATCAAAATAGTTTATAATTTTTGTTATAAGCCCAAAAAACTATAAACAAACAGGGTTTAGAGCTTCAGACAAACACCCTTCCTAGATATTTCCTAAAAGGATAGTGTTTTTATCCATTCCCCTATGTTTTAGGTTAAATATAGCATGACTTATTTGATAAGTTTTATGTTTTACAAAACTACTTGAAGGAATTGAAGGGACAATCTAACTCAAGAACCCAACTCCTCCGAAAGAGCGATAAATAACAGCCAGCCAGCTCAAGAAGATCGAACAGAGAAAGAAAGAAACAGTCACGTGTAAATTGCAATGTGTGAATCAAAACCAAACAAAAAGTCAAATGTACTAGAACACTGCAACCTCTTTGACAGTGAAACATCATAATGACTTCTAATCACCGTAATCTTGTATTCTCAGACACCAAATCCCATCTCTCACCTAGCTCTAACTCCTCCAAACCAAGATCTCTCTTCTAACAGTAATAGATTCTCCAAAACTCAGCCATGGGGCTCGTCACCTTCACCGCTGCCGGTGGTGGATTCATTCTGATCGGTGTATGGGAGTCTCTTTCCTCTTTAAACCCGTCTGAAACTCAGCTTTCCGACCCGTCAAAATCTCGACTTTCTGACACAAACAAAGAAAGGAAAGACCTTTACTCATCTTCTTTGAGTTTCGTCATTGTTTGCTTTTTTTCATTTCTGTTTGTGTTGAACTCTTTGGTTTCTGTGTTTAATGCTGTGAATTTTAGGGACAGAGTTGGTTCAGCCCTTCAGTTACAAGTTCTTGCTATTGCTTCTTTGTTTTTCCTTTATTCGGTTCTTGGTTTGTTGAGGAATTTTAGAAGTTCATTCTCTTTGCCTTCTTCAGTTCTTGATTTGGTTCTTCTCTTTGCTTTTGTGGAGGAGTTTTTGTTGTATTATTTGCAAAGGAAGGACACTATTGGGATTGAGAATCGATATTTTGATCTCTTGCTTGTACCGATTTTAGTGTGTGTGATTTCAACTGTTCTTGAATTGAGATCAACAAGTTCAAGATCGAATTTTGCAAGATTGGGTCGTGGGATTGGGTTGGTTTTGCAAGGAATGTGGTTTCTACAAATGGGGTTGTCTTTTTACACTAATTTGCTTGCTCATGGATGCTCTTTGCATGAAAAGAGTAGAGGGAATTATACTATAAGGTGTAAGAGTCATGCAGATTATCATAGAGCTAGAGCTATTGCTACACTTCAGTTTAATTGCCATCTTGCATTGCTTGTGGCTTTGGTTGTGGGGTTTTATTCAATGATGGCAAAAAGGAACGGAATTCGTGGTGGTGGTGACTTTATGAAGTATAGGCCGCTTGGAGCTGAAATGCAGCCTATGGAGACTGTGAGCAATTTCACATTGGATTCTGATGAGGACGAGATTATAGAAGAGGAGAACATTGCAAAGCCAAAGGTCAAAGTAGGTGTCAAGGGTCTTGAGAATGGTCATGGTTCTCATGATTGAGGTAAATGATTAGATCCAATGCTGGTTTTGACTGATGAATTAATCATTGTAAACTCTATTCTTTTATGATATTGTTAACTTTGTATAAAAGACAGGAGAAATTGATATAAGGCGTTTGTTGTTATGTATATTTGCTTCCAATTTTACACTTTAATACTGTGTTGTGATGTTAATTTTACTGAGACTGTGCTTGGTGGCTTAGTGCCTTATTTATGCTGTTAATGTCTCAGTTTGATGCTGATATTGAGCTGTTAATTATTGTTTAGTTAAAATCATCAATCAGGCTGTTCTGTTTCTAGAAATAATTGAAAATATGATTATATTTGTTCGGATGAAAGCTGAAAGGATTGGTCACGGGACATAGGTGATCTTCTTAAAGGGATCATTTGGTGAAGAGTACTGTTGTTCTTATGTATGTGCATTTGTTCTATGAATTTTTTTATTTTTATTTATTTTGTTTCCATTTGCTTTTCAATGGTCAAAAATGCAGTTAAGGGCAAACAAGTTAATCTCTAACTAAACTTCCTTAGGAGTAGTTAGGTATGATTGTAAACTCTTTTCATGCTGATGTATCACCCTACGGATTTACTGGTGTTGGCATTGTTGCCACAGCCCGTCAGGAAACCTAAAAAATTTTCTGCCGTTAATGTCTTGCTTAGTTGTTTTTCCCATTTATCATCACTTCTTCCAGTTGCATGCATTGAGCCTTAGATTCATCTAGGATCCCACTGAAATTAATAGGCTACACATACGTTATTGGGGTATCATCATCATACATGCTAACTTGATGATTATGTTTTGGGTTAATATATTATGTGATACGAGTTCATGCCTCTGTTGGAGTTGTGGTTAGATCACGCGAGTAATATGTCTAGAGATTATCTTTTCGTTAAGGCTTTTTTGGCGGTGGATTTCTGTTTTACAGTCAATTCATGCATTTCTTTGGTTTTGCAAACCTAGAAAATCAAGCAATTTGTGCTTTTAAAGGTGCAGGGTAGGTGGAGTGATTAGTGTGATATGTTACCATAGTTCTGTGAAGTAACCCAAACACAGACAGAGAGAGAAAGAAATACTGATAAAAAATGAGTTTGAACTCTAATTTTCATCAAAAGGAACCACCTAATAAAAAAGTTAAACTAGCAAATAAGAGTCCAACAGTAATACACAAGTCTAACTAGCACAACTGGTTAACCAGAGAGTATAAGCATTTAACCCCTAAACTGAAGTTTCTTTAATGGTTTCGTTAGGGTTACATAGCTACACATTGGATTTTCTTGCAATAAATAGTGGTTTAAGATGAAAGTGCAGAACATCTCTGTTCTCAGTGCAGCTATGCTGGGTGAGTTTGAGCTCAGCAAGCTATATGTGCTTCTATAGGTGCAGAGTACATGGAGTGATATGTGAGTATAATGCAACAAGCTCTGTAGAAAACAGAAGTGTTTAACCCATATACTGCAGTACAAAATATAGACATGGTTCAAAGCTAATGAAAGTTTCATTTAAATCATTCATGATGGAGGAGAAGTGGAGTCAGTAACAGAAGCTTATTTGATAGTTTTTATTTCTGCTTAAGGGTTTATATGTTTTACTTAGTTCTTCTTCTCAAGTTCTTGAGCACACTGAGTATCAGTCAAGGAGAATTTACAGTTGCAATTGTTGCATGGATCTTTTCATTTGTATCGATATTTTTTTGGCATCGAAATTTTATTTATTCGGTTTTCATGTTGCTAATTAGTGGTAGACACCTATGAGGCAGTGAAATATTTTTTGTCAGTAAGTGAAAGAAAGAATTTTGGCAAAGGTTCCACCAGCAATCTCTTTCTATCCTGGAATTTATTCCCCAGAAAAACTGAGCAAACCACAACTCTTTAAGTGGAAGCATGAAACACGTGGGGAAACAGAATCATCAAAGCTATGCTGGTGGAAATCAAGGGAGAGACCCTGATGCTTTTACAAACTCTGTTTACTAGTTTAATAAGATAATGATCATCAAATAGAGGAAAATATGGTAATTGAATTCAGTAATACAGAAATAGAATCCATATTTGTAGAAAAGAAAACAACAGAATGAAATTCAAAAAAAAAAAAAAAAAATAGCAGTAGAATAGAGAGGATCAGATATCAATGTCAGCCATTTCTCATGGACACATATGAGCCCAAAGATGCATTTTATTTAGAGTAATGTTACAGTTACCGATGGGTTTACACCGAATTTGTGCACCGAATGACATGGCACAATCCTGACCGTTAATTTATTATCAGTTAATATTAATCAACAGTTATGATTTTGTCACGTCATTCGGTGCATAAATTTGGTGTAAACTTTTCGGTAACTCTATCATTTTCCTTTTATTTATGTACTACAATCGAATTGCAGCAGCTGTAGTTTAGGGGTGAAAGTGTGATTCTTTCTATTAACCTGTGTAATACTTTAAGGGTTCATTCGATTTCATAAGAAATGGAAGGATTGAAATTAAATAAACACAATTCCAAGGGATTGGTCGGACAGTCAAGGAGGTTTGCTTAATTCCTTAACTTTCTGGGTTCGAACTTTGGGGTATTATGACTTAACCCGATCCTTTGGGCTTGTAATGTATTAAAGGGATCTCATTGGCTCTGACACAAAAAAAAAAAAAAAAAAAAAAAAAAAAAAAATTGAATAAACTCTCCTAAATATTAAGTCAGCGTGATCAACAAATGACAAAACAGAGACTTGGACTGACGGGGAGAAAAGGTGGGAGTGTGGTCATCTTATAAATTTTTTAGTTGAAACTTTATCTTATAAAGAAGCAAAGAATTTTATTTAAGAAGATAGTGGGCAAATCACAGAAATATCGAGGGTTTGTTTGTTTTCCTATTCTTATCATATTCAAAATACATATTTGTTTCATTATTCTCAAAATTCAATCATATTCTATTTAACTATTTTTAAATCCCTTAAGTTTGTTAATTTAATTAAACACCTTAGAAATGAAACATTGAAAATTAAAAAAAAAAAAACACCTCCACTCATCTATTAAATGTCGACAATTGGCCACTACTGTCTGAGAGTGGTCAGAAGTCACCATAATGACGCATGACATGTTGGATTTGGTCAGTCGTGTGTCGATCTGACCTTTTTCGGCCAGATTCACTGTCCGATTGTCAGCATTTAATAGGTGAGTGAGGGTGTTTTTATTAATTTTCAATGCTTTATTATAGGGGGTGTTTAACTAATTAACAAACTTAAGGGATATTTTCAATAATTTTCAAATTTTATCTGGTAATAACAACTCAACTCAATTTTTTCAAAAATACTACTCAAAATAATAAAACAAACACAACCCAGATTTTCCAATCTATTGCAGTTGATATAGTAAAGATATGTGCAGGTTTACCTCTTGCAATTATAACAATTGCAAATGCATCGAAGAAAAAGAGCATTTTTGTCTGGAGAGATGCCTTGGTGGATCAGCTAAGATGATCTAATCCGAGTTGTGTTCGAAATATGGATGAAACTTTGCACTCTACTATGAGTAGTGATGCAGCAAAATCATTATTTCTTCTTAATTTGTTGTCTGTGTATGGTAGCTAATCCTGCACATTTAATAATTTGGTTATCTTTTATTTTTATTTTTATTTTTTCCCTATTTTAATTAGCATACAGATATAATCCAAGCTGTATATTTCGAGACACATTCAGTGACAGAAGCTTGACCTTATGTAAGTATTAAGGAGTCTGCTCTGAGTACTTCCGGTATCGGACACAAACCTCCGGAAGTCATTGAGGAATCGAAGTGCAAGGATGCAGGAATATCTGGAGGTGATAAGTATTATGTTCCCAGTCCAGGTATCGGAAACAAACCTCCGAAAGTCATCAAAAAATCAGATTTTTTTGATGTTGGAGAAGAAAATAACTATAAGGTTTTAGGAATTAGTGGATTTGGAGGTATAAAGCGTTCTTCTGTTCCTAGTCCTGGAGTCGGACATCGTGGGTAGGATTTAAGTTCTTGTAGTGATTTTATAATAAGACGTCATTCGATGTCAAATATCTCCTCTACATTATCGAAGATTGATAAAATTATTGGTACAAATTCTCTCTCAATTTCTAAAATTTCCAGGCTCCTACCCGGCCATACATTTAAGTTTGATATCTATTAATCTAAATCTATCAATAAAAATATATTGTGTAACAGAGAGTATAACTTTGAGGATGGTTGTATTCCAATAATTTCATTTGGGTTCACCCATCATAACAATTGATAATGTTTAATAAACACCATACTTTTAGTACCCCAAAACTCAATCACATGGCTGTATTCCAATCCAAGCTTAATTAGACCTAGAATTCGAATAATTAATATTAATTTCCAGCAATACCAGCAGTACCTTAACTTTTTCTTTCCTTTAAAAGAATATTATACCAATATTATTATTGGTTAGTTTCATTATTAGCAGCAATGATGATTCAAATCAACAGATATTAACATAATTTAATTACTAACTATTCAAAATATTAGTGAAAGACGAGATTTGTTATCTCATATTTGTTTTTCATGAAAAAAATACCAATTAAAGTGGAGGGCTTCTTCAAGGGATTAACTATTCAATCAAATACTGTTGAGCGTTTCTTCATGGATTACTTCTTTGCAGAATTATGCTTAATCTCATATGTGGTAATTCGCTATAAAATAATTTTCTCCGCAAATCATGCAAATAACATAGCGAGGAGTTTCTACTTTTCAATTTTTGTCATTCGGGTCTATTACTCTTCTGTGTTATGAAAATAATATTGGCCTTCTATGAATCTTCCTTCCATTATTAAAATAATTGATATAATGATAGACATCTCTTTTGTTGTTTATGGAAAATCAAACAAACATATAATGTTATTTAATTAAATGTAGAATGACAATTCTTATCAAAAAGTTTCAAAGTATATTATGATTATGTTTGAAGTGTTTGTCATGAACTTGTCTTGAATTTATTCTTGATTTACTGTAGTATGATACGACCAGGTCCCAGAGATTTCTGTAGAAAAAATTGGTCTTAATAACGATGTTCAAATCTTTACCAGTTTATAATATTGTCGGCCACCAGACACTTTGAAAAGTAGAAGTCATTTTATATATGTGATGTTGTGTAACGAACAACTAATTAACTTCCAAATTAATCACCATTTTAACCTTAATCCATTCTATAAATAGACACATGATAATATTCGTTACAGCACAAGCAAGTTTCTCTGGTTGATCAAGAGTTAACAATGGCAACTAAAGCTTTTCCCTTCTTCGTCCTCCTTTCCCTCTTCTATCTTTCAGTCGTTTTGGCTCATTCCCATGACAAAAAGCCATCGCCATTCGAGTTTCTCAATAATCTGCAAGGTTGTCACAAAGGTGAAAAGGTCAAAGGCGTCAATGAGCTAAGAAAATATATGGAGAAGTTTGGTTACTTGAGCTATAACACTCAATCAAATCAAGTAGAGGCTGAGGAGGATGATGATTTTGATGAGCTATTAGAGTCTGCAATCAAAACCTATCAGCTTAATTATCATCTAAATGCCACCGGGGTTTTGGATACCAAAACCGTGTCGAAAATGAGTATGTCTCGATGTGGAATGGCGGATATCGTCAATGGCACGACTAGAATGCGCTCTGGCAAGAAAAACGCCGACCGCCATGGCTCTAGTCACTTCCATACAGTTGCTCATTTTACATTTTTTGCCGGAAACCCTAAGTGGCCATCATCCAAGTACCATCTCACCTATGCATTCTTGCAGGGGACAAGATCTGATGCCTTTAGTCCCGTTCGACGAGCGTTCACAACATGGGCTGCGAACACACATTTCTCATTCTCAGAGGCCCGGAACAGTGGAAACGCCGATATCACGATCAGTTTTGAAAGTGGCAATCATGGGGATGGTAGTTCTTTTGATGGCCCCGGTGGAACCCTAGCTCATGCTTTTGCCCCAAGGGACGGGAGGTTTCATTATGATGCGGACGAGACTTGGTCTGTGAGTGCAAACCCGAATGCATTTCACTTGGAAACTCTTGCGTTGCATGAAATTGGGCATCTTCTTGGACTTGGACATAGCTCTGTTGAGGGAGCTATCATGTTCCCAACTTTTAGTCTTGGAGAGACGAAGGGTTTGCATGGGGATGATATTCAAGGCATCAGGACTTTGTATAATGTTTGAAGAAAATCCGATTTTGGATTGATTGATTTAAATAAAAGAAGGGCGAAGGATATTTTATTTTTTTTCCAGTTTCTTATAGTAATAGTTCTTTCCATTACTAATCAAAGAGAACCCAAAACTAATTCACCGCAGTTCATCACCAGTAGATTGAATCAAAGAAAAAGACACAGCCACAGCCACAGCACAAGCCATGCATCATATATCATAACCACCACCGAATAGAAGGCTAAACAACCTAATGACACCATGCGATGACAATCAATAATAAATTCAAAACACATAAAAGATTTTCAGGTTCATTTTATAGCTGAAAAAAAGCCTTCAATGGAAGAAATTCTAGTGAGAAAAGCTTTTAATATATAGGAGAGATTCCGAAAATTAATTGCATATGTAACTAACACTACCATATTGGATAACAGAAATGGTTAAACTTACTGCTTTTTTAGATAAACCTGATAATTGCCCCTCTCATGACTTGAACATAAGACCTTACAACACATTATTTACTCTAATTTGTTTAAATTATCGCTAATAAAATTATCTAATACATTAAAACACATCAATTTATATGGATAAGCTAGTATCAAAAGTTTATACATATATTATTATTCATTCGATTTAACTTAATTGTTTGAACAATTTAGATAATTAATTTACACTTGATAGTATTATATCTATGTTAAATGATCGTGATAATTGATTTTGCAATAAAATATGAATTATTCAGTAATATAATAAACTTAATTAGAGCTTACTACATCAAAGAATTGAGATCCTAAATCTTGAACTTTTGCTTGGACTCATTCTTCAATGTTATGGCATCTAGGTCAAAACTCTTTTAATATAAAAATGAAGAAATATACCAGTGGCCGCCAAACATTAATATTTCCAATATATATAATTGTTCCTAGGTTGTTCAAGTCCCCAAAGACTAAGTAAAACTAGTCCTGCTACACTACCGTTTAACGAGCTACTCAACTTCGAAAATGAAATTTTCACTTCATCGATGCACTTTATAGGAGTTCTCTCTCTATATATAAAGATAATAAACTTGGGATACAACATAGACAACTAACAAGAGCTTTTCTCTGGTTGATCAATATTTTTCAACAATGGCATCAAAAGCTATTAGCCTCTTCTCAATTTCCTTCCTTACCCTCCTTTCTCTCCTCTCTCATTCAGCTTTCGCAGATTCCCATGACAATAAGCATTCACCATTTGAGTTCCTCAACCATCTCCAAGGTTGTCACAAATGTGAAAAGGTCAAAGGTGTCTCAAGAAGTATCTGGAAAAGTTTGGTTACTTGAATTATAAGACTTCTGCAAATCAAACGCACTTGGACGATGATGATTTTGATGAGATACTAGAATCTGCTCTCAAAACCTATCAGCTTAATTACCATCTAAACGTTACTGGAGTTTTGGATACCAAAACTGTGTCCAAAATGATTATATCTGGATGTGCAATGGCGGATATTGTCAATGGTACTACCAGAATGCTGTCCGGCAAGAAAACGGTGGACCACTATGGCTCTACCCACTTCCATACAGTATCTCATTTCTCTTTTTTTTGAGGGAAACCCCAAGTGGCCATCAACGAAGTAGCATCTCACGTATGCCTTTCTTCCGGGGATCCGAGTTGATGTCGTGAAACCTGTTAGGCGAGCTTTTGCAACATGGGCTGCAAACACACATTTCACATTCTCTTGGACTAGGAACATCAGTAAAGCAGATATTACGATTAGCTTTGAAAGTGGTGATCATGGAGATGGTTATCCTTTTGATGGTCCCGGTGGAACTCTTGCTCATGCATATGCCCCGACGGATGGGGGGTTTCATTATGATGCAGAAGAGACTTGGTCAGTGGGGGCAACACCCGGGGCATATGACTTGGAGACTCTTGCTTTGCATGAAATTGGGCATCTTCTTGGACTTCATCATAGCTCAGTTGAGGATGCTATCATGGCCCCTACTTTCTCTCCTGGACAGGCAAAGGTTTTGCATGGGGATGATATATATTAAGGGCATCAAGACTTTGTATAATGTTTGAAGAAATTTGATTTTCGATTGTTTTAATTATTTATTGCTTCTACATAAAGGATGGTTGCTTGAAGCTGATCCAAAATAAATGTAAAGGAAAGCATATATATGTACAAGGAAAGAAATTTTATAAAGGTAATTTTTCTTGATCTTTTAAGGATACCATTTTGGCTGGTTGGTAATACAAAAATATTATTTAGAATATGGTTAAAGTTCGTGAGAATCATATAGAAAATAATAAGCAGAAGCTAATTATGAGAATCATAGGGAAAATAATAAGCAAAAGCTTATGAGAACGACTGAGAAAATAAACAAAAATAAACATTGTATATTATTAAGCTGGTAAGAAAAGTTTTGAGTAGAAAACATTCCAGAAATTAATTGCAAAGATAATTAACACTGCCATCCACCTTTGGGTAACTCAAGTGGTAAGGTTAGTATTAGGATGTATGATTAAGACGCATAATCTTAGGTTTGAATACCCTTAACTTTTAAGATTAAACAAGTGATCATAGTAGTAGGATGTTGTACTAATCATCTACAAGTATTAATTAAAGTGCGTACAAGACACCCACAAATAAAGAAACTTATTTAATCCCTTTAGTTACTTCCAATATTTTGATATCAAATAAGAGATAATTATGCTTCCTGTTCTCATAATGATATGACCATTTAACTCTTCAAAGAATATGTTGTAAAGCCAAAGCCATTTTAAAATAATTTCTCAATCTTTTTGCATGATTTCTATTTTGGTTGGTGGTCAATCATAAAAATAACGTTTAAAGGCCATACTTTGGTTGTGCCAAGTTAAATCTCAATCACCACGAATATATTTTCAGCTTAATTATTGACAATTTAGATGGTTAATTTCCACCGGCAGTACTATATTCTTATTTGGTATGTTAAATGGTCGCAATAATTAATTTTGCAGTAAAATATGAATTATTCAGTAATATGATAAGCTTAATTAGAGCTTACTAAATCAACTGCGACATCAAATAATATGAGATCCTTAACTCTTCAACTTTTGCTTGGACTCATTCTTCAATGTTATGGCATCTAGGTCAAACTCTTTTATTATAATAAATGAACATATATACCAGTGATCACCAAACATGAATATTTCAAATATATATATAATTGTTCAAGTCTCCAGAGACTAAGTAAAACTAGTCCTGCTACACTGTTGATATAAGAGGATGAAAGTGCAAAGTTGTTAAGTGATTGGATGCTTTTGATTATAGGCCAAAGTGGTGTCGTTTTAAGTAGAACTTTAAGTAGAACTTTCAGCTCACTTTCACTTTACTCTTTTCTCTGTATCACTATAAAAAGAACAATGTTCTTCCTCATTTGTATCGAAAACTCAGTCAATTGAATACAAGATAGCTTTGTTCTCTCAAATTCATTTTATCTTCATTTCAGCTCTTCTGTATATTTCACTTGGTATCAGAGTCACTGACTTGCGTCAATGGTGAATCCTTCTAAATCTACTAATGAACTCAACAATTCAAACTAATTGTTGAATCACTCAGCAAATCGAACTTCGTCGGCTTTAGCCACCAGCTTACAAGTCATCAATCCCAAACTCACTCAAAGCAATTATCGCTTTTGGAGTTCTCAAGTACTATCTACCATTGGTTCACACGAACTTGAGGATTATCTCCTTGGTAAGATTGCATGTCCCTCCCCTCTTATTGTTGCTGATTCTGATATTACTCAAGATTTAGGTCAAATTAGTGGTGAGGTTAAGTCAATAATGTCTCTATTAATGAACGATTGAATCCAACCTATATATTGTGGAAACGAACTAATAAATTTCTAGTTAGCTGGCTCTTGGTTTCAATTTCCGAAAGTATGTTTGGATATGTATCAAAGTTAGGAATTCCACTGAAATATGGTTTGCCTTAGAGAATGAATTCATTACTGACTCAAAGGCTAGAGCATTACACTTTAAGAATCTTCTTCAAACTACACAAAAAGGCAATTTAAGTGTAGGTGATTATGTTAAGAAAATGAAAGAAATTGCTGAAAGTTTGTCAGCTAGTGGAATGGTAATTGCGGATGAGGATCTCTTACAGTATGATCTTGATGGGATAGGACCTGAATTTGATGCTGTGGTAGTAAATTTAACATCACGTATTGAGTCAAAGTTTGATTCTGTCACACTGCAAGAGGCTCAATTTTTACTATAGAAGTATGAAATAAGACTTGAAAAATTCAATGCAATTGATTTGTACAACTGTTCAGCACATATAGCCTCAACTGGTACTTTAAAAACTTCACATGGTTCCCCTAGTGACACAAATCGTGTTTCTAAACCTAAGGTAGAAGGTTCACAATCTAACAGAGTGCCTAGTTCCCTTTATCCTACTGCACCTACCTTAATATCACTAGGTAATCCTTATTATCCCCAATATCCTCTCTTAGCTGCTCCTCCACAGTTCGGTCAGAATTTTGGGCAAAGTCTTGGGCAAACTCTACATCATAAAAAATCACCTATTTTTGGAGGGATGTCATATGGTGGGGGTAGAGGTCGAAATTCTGGGAGAGGCAAGTTGATTTGTCAATTGTGTAACAAAGTAGGACATTCTGCTAGTTAATGTTATCATAGGTACAATTTTGCCTATACTGGAATGCTTCAACCCTCTACAACAAACACGTCACAACAGCCAAGCTCCTTTTATGAGAATTTTCCTCTCCCACAATCCAATAGCCACTTTCACCATAATACTCCTCAGTTGAACAACACTGGATAGTATACATCTGGCAATCGTCCATATAGTGGATTTGGGGAACTACCTTATGCTCAATAGTCTCACAGTTCTCATTTGGGCACTCCATCTGACAGATTTAATTCTAGTGTTGCCGTGACCGTTGATAATGCTGCAGCTACTAGTTTTGGTGTTCCTAGTCAACAGATGCCAAGCCAAAGCCAAGCTCACTTTGTAAACTCATCACCTG